TGCGAATTATATTTAGTTCAGCGATATCATCACACGCCCAATATGACCCGATTTTATCAATCCTGCTAGTTTGAAGGTAAAAAGTAAAATAGTAAAAAAATTGGCCAATGCCACAAAAGTTTTTTCATTAATCGAAGGATCGACTTCGTAGTAAAAAACCGCTGAAAAGTTAAAATAATAGGTACATATTCTTTACTTATATCCTGAAGACATTTAAAATCAAATTAACATTTGGTGTCGGTGCTATGTGTTATATATGCAAGCAAGGAATAACAAATGAATAATAAATGTTGCCGAGTGATTGTAACAACGTTTAAGAAACATTGCGATAACATTGTGAACACATGTTTTTTATTTCCTACGATTCCCTGCTGAAGAGTCTTAAATATAAATTCGTTAATGAGGAATCCCCGGGTCTAATTTCGCCACCGGAACAACTCCATACACATAATGCTACTGGAAGCTTGGGGTCGGATCCAGGTGCAAGTGACTCAAGCCCTAACGACGAAACTACCATCCCATCACACATGTCGCTAGATTATTGTGAGGACTCACCATTAAAAGGAAAGGCAAGGAGGTACTTGAATAATAAATGTTGCTGGGTGATTGTAACAACGTTTAATAAACATCGCGATTCGACAGGTCCAACTGTGAATACGTGTTTTTCATTTCCTACGATTCCCTGCTGAAGTGTCTTCAATATAATAAATAAATAAGACTATGCCAACTCAAGCAGTATAAATGGCAAACTCAGATCTATTATCATGCATGGCTGGCACAGACTCCGAATTTTCTTCATTAGTAGTTAGACATCGACTACATCTGTATAATAAACAAAGCAATATTACTAACGCAACTGTTCTGCTATGATCCAACGGAAAGTTCCATTCCAAATCTTGTAAGTCTTTGATCAGATATTTTTTTTCTGTGGGACCACCTCGGCTGTCTACACTTGTGATTACTAAATGAAATGAAACCTTTATTGGCCATCTTAACAAAAAAAACTTATAAATAAAACAATAAAAAAAAAACAAGAAAACCTAACCTAACCTAACTAAGCTCATAATCTAAGCCGGCCAATCAAGACCCTGCCTCAGCTTATGCTAACATAATGAGAAAGTACTTTCTCACTGTAGATGACTATAAGTTTTATTATAAAAACTACACTTTGTCCTTTTGCGGGACTCAAACTATCCCCGAACCAAATTTCGGTTCTGCAGTTCAAGTCAAGAGGTAACAGACAGACAGACCAATACGCAGATGGACACACTCGCATTCATATTATTATTGAGGATAGTATAGCATAGTCTCAATGCACCTTTACCCAGGCTTACTTTATGATACGTGTTAATATTGTCGCTCATACCCAATAGATGGCAGCACTTGGCTGTTCTACGCTAAATATAGAGTGTGGAAAATATGCCTAAAACGTTTTCTGTTCCTTTAGCACGAACCACTATCGAATTCGAACAGTTTGCGAGTGCGAAATTTTAAGTAAATCCATTCAGTACTTTTGAGTTCATCCCAGACATACATACAGACAAAGAGACAAAAATTCTAAAAACTATATTTTTGGCTTCTAACTAAAACGGCTTTAACCTTTCGCTGTGTGCCATCGGGGCTGAGGGGTGAGGCGGTGGACTCCGGATGCGGGAACGGGGCGAGAGGGAGGGGAAGGGCCTCGGGACGAGAGGGTTTCCATGGAGGTGGACGCAAGGGCGGATCCAGGGGGAGGGGGTCATGGGGGTCATGACCCCCCCCTGGGCTGGGTACAGATGGATTAAACCCAGGGGGATTTTATTTAAGTACTTTCAATATTTAATATACCACGACTATATGACCCCCCCTGGCGCCAAAGCTGGATCCGCCCTTAGGACGGAGAGCGCCGCGGCGTTTCTTCTTCCGCCCCGCCACGGTGACGAACGGAGTGGGAGAGTTCGGACCCTCTTCCGCCGTAGACATCAGTGTATCTACTTCGGAAGGGGAACCGGAGGACTGGGAGGGAGACGAACGCAGGGAGGCGGACCTTTTCGCGGAGGCGGATCCATTATCAGGCTGACTGGGGGCCCGAGCAGCCTGATGCGGCGAATGAGATCCCGAAGGTCCGGTTGAGGATACGGATTGAGATCGAGATCGGGGAATTCGCGGGCAAATGTTTGCACTAATCGGGACTGCTGCTCAGGCTGTGTATAGCCTCGAGTTGGGATTTTGCCATAAGGGCGTCAGAGAGTGGGACGCGAGCATTAGAATTCGCTGCGCAACCACTTTCGGCGTTGTAAAACCAACAACTAGGTGGTTCCGACGAGAATAAGCACGAACCAATATCGAATTCGTAACGTTTGCGAGTCCGAAATGTCATTGTCAAATGTGTACTGATTTTTAGTTCTCGTTACGTACTTTGTGGCGCTGCTGTTCAAGTTTCTATACAAAATTTGACATTGACATTTTGCACTCGCAAACTATTCGAATTCATCGACGCGTGCAGTTAATTAAAATTTAAAGCATAAAGAACCCTAAACAAGTATTCTCAAATAGTTGTTTATGCAAATGAGGAGTATTGAAACACATAATAGCATCATATGAGTGTTTTAATACTTTATCCTAGTTAATACGCCTTAACAGGTAATACCCAGTACTTATGTCACGATAGATGGCGCTGAATGACGTCTTCAAACGTGCTATGGTTTGGTCCTCGGTAAGTATTTATATTCTCAAACGAAAGTATACGTTGGAAGATGCATGGCCTGCTAAAATTCATTTTTCGGAATTTTTGGTTTTCATTTGGTTGTTAATTTCAGCAATCAGGTGAATTGAATTCGTAATGTTGTACGACCAGAGGTGGGTAATATAGCTATTTGTTTTTGTCTGAGAGAGAATCAAATCAAAAGTCAAAACTGTATATCGATATTCGATATCGGATTCTGTAACTATATATTTTGATATCGGTGATATCGCTGACGACCATAATTAATCATATGTCATTACAGGATGACAATGGAATGGAAAACTATATTTTCCTGCTTGATACATAACCGTTATGTGAGTTTTCGATACATCAACATTAGGTAGGACTAGGAGTTAGATAATGCAGTATATTTAAGGGAGTAATTAAGTTGATTTCTGTTTTTTTACAGGAATATTTGTTAAAAATATAGATAGGTAACTAAACATAAAAAAACCGGAAGATAAATAATACACCAACAATACAAAATAATACGCTAATGCAATTTAATTGAACGTGTTTGGACGTTCGAATCTACGACATGATAAAAATTCAAATCCGCACCAAATTTCTTTTGCTAGGGTTCAAGGATAGAGGTCAACTTGAGTAGACATTAAATTGTGTAAAAGCTCACCGTTATTCCATAAGAAATAAGGTTAAAGATTTAATCAACAAAACTATTAACAAAAGTGTATAAACTATTTTATTACGATGAAAATAAAGTGAAAAATTGCAGTATGCGTTGCATCGTAACTATTGCTGTTTCACTCTCATCTCATCATACGCTCTCCCTCTACTCCCACTTGGCGTTGGTCGCGCTCATATTCCATTGTGACACGGTTCAATATACTTTAAACAGTCTATATACGATACAGTACTGTCAACGCGTATCGCATTCCCAATGCAATATAATGTTTTGCCAAAATATATAGTTTCAGAACGCATTGATATTTTGGATTTGACGATATTGATCCAATATACGTTTCAATATATATAGGTATGTCGTGGCCATATCGTAGATTTGCTCACTTCATGAAATGCTCGTGAATTGAGACCATTTCATGAAATGTTTCACTATTTATTGACCACATCATGATGTGGTTGGGGCAGATCAATGATGAGAAATCGTTTCACGATATGGCCAACTAAACGCGCGGCTACTTCATGAAATGGCAAAAATTATTTGATCATATTGTAAAGTAGTTACATTAATTACCGGTAGAGGCGCTGCAAGCGCTTTGTTTATATGTATATGGCGGCCGCTGCCGAGATTGTTGTTTCTCGCAGTGAAAAAGTGCATAATTCGTTATTTAATGAGGAAGAAAGTGATAACAAAAGGGTTTTCGACGAAACAATTTAAGGAGAGTAGGGTGACTACGCAAAAGAAATCTATGGACTACTACTGGCTGTCAAAATATGACATTTTGCAAACTGCGGCTGAGGTACAAAGTGCGGATGAGAATCAATGCCGTACAAAGATATACTGTAAAACTGTACTCCAGGGCCCAAGAGGTGATACTTGAATTTATTTTGTAGAAAAGCTTTCTTTTAATAGAGTTTTTCTAGTGAAGTGAGCAAATCTACGATATGACCACGATATATTATATACGATTTGTATCGCCCACTCCTATGCACGACCATACCTCAACCCCAAAGTGCTACACACATGTGCCGGAGGCGTCATCGGTTTATGTTTTTAGTTTGATTAAATACACAGAATAACTTTGGATTAGGCACTCCAAGTTTTGTCTCTGTTCATTGAATTACAAAATGGCTGGCAACCTGACTGGCTCTAACCCTCCTCACGATAAGTCCACCGCCCGCTCACTGGGCCTCCCTCACGGGTCTCACCTGGTGGGCTTGACAGCGCCAAGGGCGGTGTGTGAAGACGTAGAGAGGGGGAAACGAACCCCATCTACCACTCTGTTCGAAACAGAGTGCAAGCCCGCAACCTACGAAATGAAGAAATTCAACATCGGATTCTCCGCACGCCACGCAAGAACTGCAATGTATGTGGCAAAACACGAACCTACTATAGTTAACTATACACTCTCGAAAGAACAATGGTGTCGATTCTGGCAGGATTCTCTAAACTTAAAACTAAATTTAAGATCAGTCTGTCCTTTTCATTCTGTATAGAGAACGACAGGGATACTGCTGTCAAATTTAAGTTTAGTCTCGTCTCTTTGCTGCATCGTTTGAAACTCAACTTTGAGCATGTTCGTCCCCATTTTCTTAATCTTGGTTAGCGCAAATGTACTGTTTCTAAAAGAAACGTTTACTTCCACTTGTCGTATACTGTCGGTTGGTTTTCTCCAGTCTCCGTGGATTTAATAATGATCGCCAGAAGTGTTCGAGATGGGCACTTAGGCCTCGCGGCAACTGCCGCTGCAAAATTCTTGGTAAAAAGTGGTGGTGATGGTGAGGAGGTGGGGAGCGTTTTGAGTTCCTCTCTGATTCCTTCCCTAATGGCTGCCATCAGCGACTCCTTATCAAAGCCGCAGCCATGCGCCGGGTCTATCAGGGGAGTGGCAGAGGATGAGGATGAGGGTGCGTCAGTCGAAGTTTTTGCGAGAACCTGGGTGGCTCTCATGATCTCCTGAGCAGCCGCCGCAATAACTTTTTTATTATTAACCGTTACGCTCTTACCATCATTCACCGCTTTGTTGATTGTTTGCGTGAGTTTTGTCACGGCGGACACGAAAGTGTTCATGTCCGTGACGTCTTCCGCCCAAGCCGGCAGTTCCATGACTTGCGAGGTCGGTGTTTTGGATCTGTGTTTGGTCGCTTTAAGGGATAAGACGCGCTTCTGGGTAGCGGATTGTGTGATATCCTGTTTCTGCTGTGTGAGTGTGACATCAGAGTCCTGCGAGCATGTCGCAGTGGTCTGGGTTTCCGGACCCGGCTTATTTGGGTCAGTCAAATTTCGATCCTCTATCGCATCATGGGAGACATCGCCGGTTGACCTAGTCAGATTCGTCGTGTTTGCCGTAGTCGCACGCGTAGATCGGTTGTCCGTTGTAGTTGATCGAGTCAGGTTAGTCATGTTTGCCGAAGTCGAAGTCGCTTGCGTAGGTCGGTTGTCCGTTGTCTTAGCCAGGGGTCGTTTGTTTGTAGGGTTGTCGTTTGTTTTGTTTTTGGTTTTTAAATTATCAGTCTGCATACTTATCCCACGAGAACGGTCGATTGGGTATACTCCTCCGGGTGACGCCCATTCCGAAGGAGAGGTTATATACTATAGAGGTCGCCTGGTATCTATAGGGTTAAACGAGTGTTCTCTCAGGTGTTATAGACTTTTCCTTGTCGCAGCCGGCCAGTTAGGGCAAGCCTCCGGCCTGTCCATAGCCAATGACGTACCACCATGAGCGCTTGAATGGGGTTTTTGACAATGGTAGGACAGGTTGCGGACCGAGGGACTGGCGCTAAGTCCTTCCATATAGCAGCTCTCCTCTCGGGGAGCTGGTTACCACCGAGCAAATGCCCCGCCGTGGCCTGCCTCCGGGCAAATGCCCCGCCGAGGACTTGGGTGCCTCCGGGCAAATGCCCCGCCGAGGACTTAGGTTGTGGAGCCGTTGGTAAGGGAAGGAATAGGTCCTCCCCCGCAAGCCCCCCCGCCGCGGCAAGGCCGCTCCACAAGGGGGGGGGGGGGGGTACACCCCCTGTACCACACATGATACTATTATATATTCAATCTTGAGTCTTATAATCAAGTTTATAACTTGCTACGCAATTGTTAAGACTTGGAGAAGATATACTCCGGGGGAACGACAACTTTCTTCTTCTCAAGATCAGAGAGACCAGCGGAACCAGCCAGCCGACCTGGAGACAGGGCGGATTCGTGACAGTGTTGTGAGTGCATTGAGTGACGATCATGTTATAAGAGATCGAAATGTCGATGTGTTGATGTGCCGCGACGCAAGTGGTTCCGTAGTAAACGTGGAAGGGGCCGCCTCCCCAAGCCATTACAGCCATTTTAATTATATTTTATTAAGTTTGAATTCCGAGTCGATACACTCTAAACTGCTGACACAGTTGACCCACTAATTGGTTTAAGAACAATATTTTACATTATATGACAGTTCAATAAAGGCATTCACATCATATTGACGTATTTTAATAATTATCTCCTGACAATCGTCCCATGATTAATTGACATATTGAGTCGTTAAGGTCCTAGTAACGGCCCCTACACGCTCCCTCCCGCCGAAGAAGAGTGGGCAGGAGAGGACGATTGCGCGGCCTGGCAGCGCCCGTCCCATGACCCTGCCCGCGAGGATACCTAGCTGCGGCACAATGCGCCGTGCCGGCCACTGACGGTCCCCGTAACGGCAGCTCCCCACGTATGGTTCTGTCCTGCAAAGAGGGAGGCACGGGCACGCCCAAGTAGCCATCCGCAGCCGAAGGGGGGCTGGACGGTGGGTAATATTCCGCGTACTCAGCTCCCACGTGGTCATCCTGGGCCATCCTGCGCATGTCTGCGGGGTCCCGCAATACCCCGAGAGACCCCTGCCGTGGAGCCCCGGCTAGGCCGGGAAGCTGCTGGGTGCGGAAACGCGGAAGAATCCCAAAACGGGAATCCCGCGGCTTCGCATTAAGCAGCGTAGAGGGTATTCGCAGGGTTTTTTAACGGATATTATACTGTAAAGCGCCCGTGAGAGTTACGGAGTCCTCAATGGGCAGTCACTGCGGGGGCTCGTAAGGCTTGCGGGAGCTCTTAAAGGCGCCATCGTCTGTAAACAGAGGTTTTGCCTGCTTTAAAAAAAAGGGCGGCAAGGTGAGGATGGCTGGTGTGGCAGATAAAACTGCTGTATCAGCTATCTTCGCGTCTGGACTTCACCGTCACTTAACATTAGGTGTGGTTGAGTCGTGACCGACCAACGGGTACGACTTCTCCAGTCGCCTGAATCGTTTCCGGAAGCTTGCAACTCTTTTTACGTAAAACCTTGTACAGAGTATTAGAAAACTACAAAAAAAAAATCAGCGAAATTGGTCAAGCCGTTTTCATGTTATGTCGTGACAACGGAAAACGGGATTAATTTTTATATATATAGATATGAATACCTATAACTGTTACTTTATTACAAAAAATAAAGATGTGGTTTTTGGTTCTACTACACCAATGGTCAAGAGATGGCGCTGTAGTCTCCTGAATCGCGCTTTGGTTCCGTTGTTCCAGATTAATAAATACTTTTTGTTACTTTATTACAAAAAATAAAGATGTGGTTTTTGGTTCTACTACACCAATGGTCAAGAGATGGCGCTGTAGTCTCCTGAATCGCGCTTTGGTTCCGTTGTTCCAGATTAATAAATACTTTTGATAGGCCTTCACAATGCAGTCGTTAGCACCCACTAAATAGTGATTCTATTTTGTTGGTAGATTTTCTTAATGTGCGGTAAACACAAAAGTAACGCATGAAGTTGGTCGCTACCAACTTCATTATGTTAAAATTTTGTGTTACAGTGATGCGCGCGCATCTTAAAATTTCACTCTCATCAAATTTTCATAACGCGCCTAAAGAAGTATAACTTCAAAAAATAACCCATAAAGGATCACCTTGTTGCCCGTCTATCTGCCCAGAACCTTTCTGGGGCGACGTGTGCAGTGAATTAAAATTTAAACCAGTTAAAGAACCCTAAAGAATTATTCTAAAATAGTTATTTATGCAAATGAGGAGTATTGAAACTCGGTTTTATCACATAATAGCATCATATGAGTGTTTTTTAATACCTAATCCTAGTTAGTATAATACCCCTTAACAGTTAATACCCAATCCTTATGTCTCGATAGATGGCGCTGAATGGCGTCTTGAAACGCGCTATGGTTTAGTTCCCCGGAATGTAGATCAACTAAATATTTTCCTAAAGACCAACTGTGACGACTAAATCTGTGTTCTTAAGTGACAAATTTTTGGAATTCACTTGGTTGTTAATCTCAGCAATCAGGTGTAGTGAATTCCCGCGCTTCAAATTGCTACACAAACACACGCTACCGGGTCCTGCGGACCCAGACAATATTACTAGTCCAGTCAACAAGTTCAAAAACGTGAAAAATAGAGATAAAGCTCCTAAAAATATGAGCAATAGCTCATTGGATACGGAACGAACTCTAGAAAAATGAGTTTTGAGGATTTTACTGCACGTAAAAAATTGCAATTGTTATTAACAAAATAAGATGAAAAAAAAGAGGTATTTACGTTTTTGTTAATAACTCATAAACTATTAATATTTACGATATTTGGAAAAAAGGTCCTTAAAGAGGAGGAAATTTCCGAAAAAAAAGTCACAGCTCCCGGAAGTCTACCTCTATTATTTATAATTTTAATTTAACGCTGAAAATAGGGCTCCGCGCAGCCATTACGGCATGGGCGCACTGCCGTTAAAGACAGTTTCTTACATAAAATTATTTTTTTATAGTAACAAATATGAATTTAAAAATTTAAATTTATTATGGTGTCATCCAGATACTTGAAAGAATATATTCCCGTTGGAAAAAAATTTTTAAATTAATTTTTCAAAAACTTATGCAATTGTTAATTAACGAATTTTTTTCCTATCTCCGTTTTCATAAATGACGACATAAAAATTTAAATAATAAACCTATAAATTTTTGGCTCTGTGAAGCTCTTCTTATATATATACTTAACAAGATCCCGCGATAAAAGTTTATTAAAGTTAATTATTTTGTTTATAACAATTTTTTAAAGTTAACAAAAAATGAAAATTCTAAGAAATGTTATTAAAAAATTTTTTTTAAACAAATGTTATATTATTGCTGCTTTCTTATCCAACAATGGCATTAAGTAACATCGGAAAAAAATTTTTTACATCATTTGTTAAGAAATTGTTTACAAACAAATAGACAAGTTTAATATTTAAAGATTTTTTTTTTACCATTATGTTTTCTTGGCAAAATAATGATTTTTTAAAAAAAAAATTTTCTTAAATAAATTTTTTTATTGTTTATAATCGTTTTTTTTATATTTCGATTGTTTAAATAATTAGTTAAGGAATGATTTTCTCTTTAAAAATCATAATTGGCATTTCTTCATAGGTAAATAGAAAAAAAAAAATTTTTATCAATAATTTCATTGTTTGTTAACTTAACAATTTGTTATAAACAAATTCTAACTACCGTTATATTTTTTTTTCTAGAGCTTAAAAAAAATAACAAAAACAGCCATATATATCTAAATACTAAAAAAAAATTTTTTCTATTTTTTATAACGCTTTTAAATATTACACGATACCAAAGTTGCACCGGACACTTGATTTGTCAAGTAAAAAATTAATATAACTTATAAACTATTCGAGATACGATAATGGACATTCAGGTCGTTTTTATAAAGCATTAATTAATCTTCAAAATAAGCTAAAAACCAAGTTTGTAACTATTGTTTATCAGCTAATACATGCATTTGTTTATAAAATTTTGAGATTTCTTTAACTTTTTCGTATCTCTTATGACTTACAACTTAATAAATAATTAAAATACAGCTATAAACCTTAAAACAATGTTGTTTAGCGATACATTATCTCCCAAATTATCAATTAATCGTACCTCCATCTCTAATATGACAGAAAAGGTGTCAACTAGTTCAGTTCAAAACTTCGATAGACCAAGCTGTTCTGCAATCCCTCCCTTAAAGAAAAGAAGGAAACGAACTATTTGAATTTGTATTATTGCATTGTATTATTTCCTCAAATATATTTAGAATTATTATTATAAAACAGTGACTTTTATTTTATAAATCCATTTTATCCTAATATTATTTCTAATATTTTTTTCATACCAATAAATGTAATTCTATTTAATTATAATAAAATATATAAAAATATGGTTAACATGTAAAAATTTAGAAGATACGGCAGATCAAACTACAAAAAATATGAAAAAAAATACTTAATGACATCGAAGAAACTATTTATTTAAATAAATGATAAAATCAGTTTCACTTAGAAGCTATAATAACTTATAATAATGTAGAGAAAATTAAAAAATTACAAAATGAAGGTAAGTGTTAGATAAATATTAAATAAATATTAATT